AATGATAGGGGAGGGGTGGTGAAAACGAGTAGGTGGTATAAATTATTTTAGTAGGTGGGTATGCTAATGAAGTCAAAAGTGATAGGGGAGGGGTGGTGAAAACGAGTAGGTGGTATAAATTATTTTAGTAGGTGGGTATGCTAATGAGTCAAAAGTGATAGGGGAGGGGTGGTCAAAACGAATAGGTGACAATTCATTAACATAAAATTGTGGGCGACTTTTGTGTTGATAAATTGTGGGCGATCTAATTATGCTGTGTTGGTAAATCGAGGAGGGTAATTATCATAAATTATGGAAATCATATACCATGAAATTACTATTGTTCCTGAACAAATGGCTGCCTGGACCTKCCTGAATAAAACACAACATAAGTTATTCAAAGTCACGTGGTTTCTTGAGCGTGAAAGCGCTTGCCTCATCATTTATGGCGTTGCTTTCTCATGTCAACATCGACTTATTTGACGGCAATCTAAATATTCAATGTTGGTAAAATTTTATGTCAAGGTTCAGCGATCGCATAAATTACTATCCAAATAAATTACTATCCTTTGTTCTGAGACAATAGGTCACCTGCTAAAGGAGTTTTCAATAAACCAAGAATTATGATTTTCAACATTTTTATATTTCTAACTAATCATAACTACATCTCACTTTTACTACTGTGGCATTTATTACTTGGAAAACTTCCGAGAGGCCCGGAAAGGACCAGAAAGGCCCGAAGATGTCCGAAAGTTCCGGAAAGGACCGGAAAGGACCGGAAAGGCCCGGAAAGGACCGAGGCTCTCCGGATGGCCCGGAAAGGGTCCGAAGCGCCCCGGAAAGACTCCGGAAATCTTTCGAAATGATCCCGGAAAAGAGATTGGAATGTGATTATAAACCATTTTCTGACGAAAACCATTGCTTTAAAACATTTTATTCAAATGATAATTCCATAAACTTAAAGGTTTACTTATTATATATAATATATTTTTTTGAAAACATGAATGGATCATTGTTGACCTATTTTTATTTCCATTGATACCTCATTGTATTTGCGAGTATTATCAATATATCATAGTTTGAAACCAATTTAATAGAGAATCTTGTGACTTGTGATGCACTATGTTACACCATCTAGGTTTTATCTTCGCAAAAGCTTTTCAAAACGTACCATATTAGAAACTCAATAGTTCTTCCATTGGCGTTTGAAAATGGATGGACGCCAAGGAAAGCTAGGACAAATTCGGCAAGTGCCTCTTAAACCTGGCAACAAGTTCTGAAGCTGTAACTCTGGCGCTTTCGCAGGCTATTATGAGATGTAGAATACAAACTACTAAGCCCCCTTCTCTTCTTTAGCACTTCCGACAAATGCAAGTTTTGTTCGTGAAGATTGGCGGCGAATTCTAATGACATTATAATTCCACATCAATTTTAAATTTACCCTGACCGAATATAAGATTAAAGCCTAAATTTTTACAGAGAATTTGAGAGCAAATAACATATTCAATTTGAGGCATTCTACATGTTCCAGTGGTTTACCATGAAGGCTTATATTTCACTCGTGTGACCAACTTTACACGCCATCTATTGATTTTGGCCAATCACAAGTCTCATAAGCAAACGGCCAATGAAATTCGTCCTCAAAATCTTGAGGACCTCAGAACACGATTAGCAACGGCAAATCACAGACGTTCTCTCCCCGATTTTTTGAGGGGTGAGAAACGGATGTACACAGGCTAGGAGCACCATGTCTCAGTCTAACCACAGCGAGGAGGAAGAATTGAGTTCTGACAGTATCCATACCGATACCTCAGAAGAAAGCAGCGAGGAGAGTAGTGATTCAAGTGATGTTGATTCAAGTGAAGAGCAGGAGGATATCGATGTCTGGGCAAGAATTCAACACCAAGCTATGGATAGATATCAACAAGAATATGATGTACTGGTTCAGAAATACAAACAAAATGGCGATACCGATACCGCAGCAGAAATCAGAGCAAATAATGCTTTGCTTCCATCATATAGAAAAGCGCTGAGGGAGGTTCTGTTTGA